CGCAATAGGATATACGTAAACGACATACGTAAAATCCTTGTGCGTTGACCTACGACAACGACTTACGACTACGACTCAGTTGCAACCATCTTTGTGCGCGGACCCTAAAACAGAATCACAGTTTAACCATATACAGTTACGACAGTCCCTGAAATTTTTCGTGTAATGTTTCAAGGCGCATGCGTCAACTATACTATCGAAAACATGGAAAACATATCAGAATAATAATAAGTGTGTTTGGAGGTTATATGTTTGTATGATTTTGTGATATTATATATTATATAATTGAAATATTGTTAACGAAGATTTTATTCTTAATGCGTTTTTTTTAATATCCTATTTCGAAGTTATAATAATGAGTAAAGGTGGATTTTCTTGTGTGATGTGTAAAAACATATCTGGACGAAATGCAGGAATAAAGTTTTTTCGTTTTCCAAAAGATCCAGAAATGTAAGTAAAAATTTTCTCTATAAATATGCAAATAAATATATATGTAGTACAAAGTTTATATAATGATATTGAAATTATACAATTATATTTTTGCATAGGTCTAAATTATGGCTCAAATCTTGTAATCGTATGATTGATAGAACAACTGAAGAACTTTATAAAAATTATCGAATTTGTAGTGATTATTTTAATGAAAACATGTATCTTAATAACTTGAAAACTAGACTTCTTCCTGCAGCTATACCAAATGCAACACAGACCACATTAAATTTTCTGACAAATCCAACTTGTGACACTTACGTTATTTCAAGAGGTAATATTCTGCTTTATATTTTATTCAACTGAAGCTGACTTTTCATGTGCAACTGCAGCATATGCTGCGACAGCAAAATGCTAACATTGGTTAAAAGTTTTTTTGTGAGCTGATGCTATCCAATCAGTTCTTGAAAGTATGAATCAGATGACGTTTTGCTGCCGCAGCATATATGCTGCGTATGAAAAATTAGCTTGAGAGATACTAATAAATATTTTTTATCACAGAGAATATAGAATTTAGACAGAAATCTTATCAGGAGGAATTAGAAATAAAAGCAAACGAATCGTTATATGAACAAATGGACCTAGGTGAAAGCAATAATTCTAGTAAGTTTAAACTAGCATAGATGTAGACAATAATTAAAAATAGATTAATGATTATAAAAAATGTCTTATTAATAAATTACCAAATATTCATAAATATTTTACCAGCAGTTGTATTAACGACAGTAGAATTTATTGAAAAATTCGATAGTTTGTTTGATATCTTTAACTCATCCACAGTAATAGATAAGAAAAGTTACAGGAAAGCTTTTACTGGAGCACAGCATCAATTACAATTTTTACAGGAAATGTTCGATTATTTGTCAGGCTTAACAGTTTTTTCAAAAAAAGGAAAAAATATTACAAATACGGTTCAAGTTTTCAAGTTTTGGAAATTAAACATAAAATCTCTACAATCACTGTGGACTTATATGCAAACTACTCAGCCAGATATTAAGTTTTTGCTTACAAGGCGGTTGAATCAAGATTCACTAGAGAATTATTTTGGAAAAATACGAACGTTGAACGGCGCGTACTGTCACACCATCACAATTTTATTTCGGTTTTAGAAAATTATTTTCTACATTTTATTTGACGACGGGAACTGGAAACTGTGCCGAAGATCGCGACTTAATGCTTATGAATGTTGCTAATTATAAAGCTCAAAATGTACAACATGTTGATGTGAATCAGCAAGATAAAGGAAAACCAATTTTAATTGATGATCATGATTATCGAAACATAAGTCTATCGGAACAAAATGCTTTTCGATATGTTTGTGGATATTTAATGCGAAAGTGTATCATAAAACATTCCTGTGATATTTGCCTTAAGTTTGCGAGAGAATATGTAGACTTGAATAACAATTATTCATATTATTGTTTCTTTCGAGCTTATGAATCTACAGAAAATAATTTGTTTGGTAGTTTGTTAATGCCAACTGATGACTTCGTTACATATATACAAGTTTTAGAAAACAATTTTTTTCAAAATATAAAAACCTTAATATTGCAAAAAGGTGTTGTAGCTAATCTCATTGAAATTTTTTCTCACATACCATTTGCTCATCCATGTCCTAATTTTCCAAAGGAATATTTGATAAGGCTTTTTGCTCGAGTCCGACTTTTTTTTACTTTAAGAAACATTAACAGTACATTCAAGACTCAACGAGGACATAGAAAAGTAATAATTTTGAAACATTGATTACTATTTTATATTTACAAGAAATAATTATTTATTTTTTGAAAACTTTTAATTTGCTACGCATTAATAAGCTACACATTGAAGAGTTTACTTATATTTTGAAAATTAGTTCAGCTTTGTATGTGATATTTACGTTTTGTTATGTTTTATATGCTATTTTTTCTATAAGTATAACGGAATAATATATGTGATAGAACTTTTATGTTAAATACGTTATTATTTTTTATATAAAATATATCAATGTAATTATAAGACTGAAATAAATGCATAAATATGAAAATACGAATGAAATGCATGAAATTAATTATAAAGCTACTATTTACAATCTGGCCTGATGTAAAAACCGTTCAAATTTATCCTAAGATAGTAGTTAATAAAAAATATCATCAACACAAGAGCATTAGTTTTTGATGTTAGATCCGGCGATAAATATCAATCTTAGTATATTTGATTTTATTTTTTCTCTTTTCTTGCAGTAGAATAAACATGATGATTGGTTCACCAGTGCCATCAAAAACCAGATGAAAACAATCAAGCATTTAACGGATGAGTTCGGGGAGACGCTATTAGTGCTATTCGTATTATTCAATGTTTTTTTATTGTTCAATAAACGTAAAATAAAGATAGGGCAACATAAATAACATTAATAGCGTCTCCCGGCCGCAGTCAATAACTTCAGATCTGGATAATTTTATCAAGGAGAATATAAATAATATTCAATTTTTATTAGAATATTCCTATATATATTTTAATTTTTTTATAAATTACATTATTAATATTTCATATTAATGATTAATAATTGTATATTTTTTATACTTTACAACTTTATACTTTATTGTGAAAATTAAATGAATACTTTTTACACTTTGTCCATCGCACAATTGTCAACTAATTATTGAAAGTTTAAAATAACACCCAAAATGTGTGTTTTATTCGTTCAAAATACAATAAATTTCGCAATGTGTGTGTTAATTATTATCTAACCTTATTTTATAATTTAACTTTTTTTCAACTTTTTCTGTGGCTCCTTATATCACCTATTTCATTAATTACAATTGTCTATGGTAGCTAGAAATATTTAAACTCTTTTTATATTTCACATCTTTGAACTACACGCCTTTACACTATCCAAAACATGGCGGAGAGTCACATGACTGGGTAACACGAACATCAAAAGTTCCGCCTTTACTGTCGTAACTGTATATGGTTAAACTGTGACAGAATGATACATATTAGGGGTGATCCCGATTGACCACGGCTCGATTGGAGCCACCAATCACAGCGACCGGTGCTTAGGAGCTTTGTAGTCTCAAGCGCTGTGAGTGGCCCGTGTCCAATTGAGCCGTGTCCTACTGGGTGCCACCCCACGATTTTTAAATTTTCACTTTAAATGAAAGTTGAAATGCTAAAAACAATTATTACAATTACAATATGGATTCAAAATAATTAAATGTGTTATTTTTATTGTATTAAAAATTACAAGTATGTTAAACGCAGTTATTTTCGCACTCCATGATGGCGTCGATGATAGACCTGTTCTTTTTGCATCAGTTCATCTTTCTTCCTTTTCTTTCTTCCTGGAGAGAAAAGGAAGAAAGATGAACTGGTGTAAAAGTTCAGCCAAAAAGAACCGGCCTGATATGACGTCATAATTTGGTACAAATTTGACAGCTGTCTTACAAACATTTCAAAATGAGTGAAAACATACAAAAGATAGCGAACATTGTTACAAGTGGTGCTTTGTTCCGTTATGTAATAATACGACTGTTTCCACGCCTTCAAAGATATTTGTATCGGTGCTAAAAGGAAATATGAGGAAAAAATTGTTTGAGATTGCAAGACGCAACAATACTTTGTCTAAACCATTGAACACCAACAGTTTTGCTGTGAAGATCATTTTGACGTAAGTTTAAATATTATTTTTAAAATTAATTAAGAAAACATAATTCACAATTCGTTTTACAGTTGCAAGAGGATATATGATAGTACGGCTTGATCCAGATGCATCTACGATTAAGAAAAGGAATATTGCCTACAATATTTGATTGTCAACCTAACAAACAACGTTGTCATTTAAAATGTAAATGTCCAGGAATTCTAAAGCGTCAGAAAATTGAAGGTTTGAATGAAATTCTACAGACTAAATCGGTTGATAAAGCTTGTAGACACATAATAGATGAACTTGTTACTGAAGAACCAGACGTTAATATTGGTAATTGTAGATTGATGATTATATTTTACATATATTCTAATTGAATTACATAATATAATATTGAACAATATTTATAATAAACTTGTAGATAATCCTTCATCAATTAAAGATAACAGCTTCGAAAGTGATTTGAATAATGTATCTCCAAAATACAAGGATGTCGGCATTCAAGCAAAATTACAAGTTCGAAAAATAATGCGTAGCAAATACGTATAAAATGTAACCGTCATGCGAGATGCTTGTTGCGCAAAACAGAAATACATTATTCAACAGAAGCAAAAAGTGGTACAATCTTCATCGACAACCAGTACTACTATAACAAATAATCTTGATGATACACTTAACTGTGATGATGATGAATATCTACCATCACATTTGCGAGAAATTTGAAAATGACACTTATTACAAATAAACCAAAAATGTATTTGGGTATTCCGAATGATGCTTTCTTTTTAATAAAATGATTAAGTTAAGAAACAGGAATTACGACAGAAGAAATTTGCTTAACACTTCATAAAATTAAATTAAATGATACTTTTGCAAGACTTGGCGATGAATTTGGAGTTAGTGCTAGTAATGCAAGTGCTGTTTTTCGAAGAACTCTTCCTATTTTAGCACATTATTTAAAACAATTAATAGTTTGGCCTTCAAAATAGTCTTTAAAAATAAATTTATCGTTACCATTCCGGCCACGATACAGTCATATTCAATCAATAATTGATTGTTTAGAAATTGAGATTCAGGAGCCTGGGTCTGCGGTGAATCAAAGTGTAACTTGGTCTGAATACAAAAAATGTAATACGTTAAAGTACTTAATATCTATGTCAGCGAATGGTTTGATCAATTTCATATCAGAAGGTTTTTGTAGAAGAAGGTCCGATGCTACCATCGGTGAACAGAGTCAACCCGTACGGAAAAAACTATTAGAACGCCAATAGTAACTAATGAAACGCAAATAGTAACTATTAGAATGCTAATAACTATAGTAACTATTGAACGGCAATAGTTATAAGCAGTGTTGTGCAAGGTACTCTATTTTCAATACCTAGGTACAGGTACAGGTACTCTAGAAAAAATGTACCGAAGTACAGGTACAGGTACTAAAAAAGTAAAATACCTAGGTACAGGTACAGGTATTTTAAATGTACCTTAAAGGTATCTAATAGGTACTTTTATTTTTAACATGAACTAGCCCATTTCATGCACGCGCTGACCTCACATGACCCTGATTTTATCTTGATTTTTATAAACTTTTCTTATTTATCACTCGTTGACTCTTATTCTTTATATTATTTTACATACTTACTCAAGTTTTGAATACAAGTATAAAATATTTATTTTTTCTTTTTATTTTTAAACCTAATCAATGTACTTTAAAATCAATCAATTCTTTACAATTTGAAATTACCCTTTCCTTTCTTTATGGTTGTAAAAGCTGTATTCTTCTTTCGTCCCTATTTTAGTTAGGCTTAAATTTATTTTGTTGTATGGGTCTCACTCCCGAACATTTGTCTTCGAAATCGGCGACCACCAAAATCTACATTTCAACAGAAATTAACGACCCCGAAAACCTTTAATTGCTAATTTTCACTACAATCTAAGAATTTTGAATTCCGTCCGCAATATTGATTCAGCCATTTTGAATTTTCAAATTCTAAAATCAGATTCAGCATCAACAACCCCGAAAACCTTCTAATGGTTCATTTCGCTGAAATTGGAAGACTTAGCATTTTCCTCCGCCATATTGATTCAGTCATTTTGAATTTTAAAATTTTTAATCCGGATTCGAGATCAGCAACCCCTAAATCCTCCTTATACGAAATTTGGCTGTAATCGAAAGACCTTTAAGAATTCCATCCGCCATATTGATTCAACCATTTTGAATAATAACTTAATTAATGATGAAATAATAACTTAATTTAACTTAATTTGACTTAATTGAAATATATTCTAACATTATTAAATATTATATTAATAGCAATTTAAATATTTATGTTTTCAATGTTACTTTCTTTGTTAAATATATCACAATATTTTTTTTCGAGAATTTTTAATTTTATTTCAGTAGCTTTTTTGATAACTCGGTTATCTCAAGTTGCTTATTCTCATTTTTTCTGCACGATATTCTCCTGCCATTACTTTATATCGTGCAGCTTCCATATTCAAAGCGTGGATCTCATACTCATTTTTACTTAGTTTCGCATATCTATCCAGTCTTGCATTTGCCTCATTTTGGACAGCTTCTGTCCGTATTTCGTGTCCTTTCAACTGCGATGATTGTGAAGATAAATTTCGCGAAGACTATTTTGTATGCGTTCCACTTGATGATAGTATCAACATTTTATCGCTAGCATCATTAATAAGTTTCATACCGACATCCTCCCTCTCAAGACATAATCGCTTAGCCTCTGTGCTATTATTATTTTCTACATCTCGTTTCTTACAATCTATAAGTTTTCAATTTTTATATAAAATGATTAAAAATTAGCATATTGCTATTGATCACTATTATTTTTATTGATATATGTAATAAAACATTGCCTACCCATATACTGTGGCGTATCGATGATAATAATTGTTGGAATAGAAGCATCATTTTTCTTACAAAATTTATCGTTTATAATTTCAGGAATATTTTTATCTAATAATTTTAATAGATTTTTAATAATTTTAATTGTTAAATTTTTTGAATGTATTTACAGTTATATTTAAAAGAATTAAACCTTTGGTAAAGCTAATTATTTCAGTATCAATTATTTCTTTATCAGAAATGTCACAGTCGATTACATTTGGTATCTCAACTATAAAATGTGGCACAGCATTAGCAATTAGTGGATCAATTGGTACATCAGGTTGTCTTGTGCGCCACCGGATCGATGTCAGTATTGTTTTTCTGTTACTAATATTTCTCACTGGCGATGTTTTATATTTTTCCATGAAGATTGTAATTGTTTTACTGTCGCCTATATGTATAAAGTAATAATTTATAAAATAAGATAATCACAAAATAAAAAATTTGTATTTGTCTATTCAACAATAATAAATGAAAAATCGCCCGATATGTAAATCACACAAATATGTATATAAACGCAGAAGTGAAGGCTATTTTTGGTCAGAATAGATCTTGGTGTCTAATAATATCTTAACAAAATTACCTTTTTAAAAAAAGGTAAAAAAAAGGCGCCAAGTGTACATGTACCTTCCATAAAAAACTGTACTTTACATAAACTAAAAAAAAACCGTTACATAAATAATATAGTTCAAGTGATAATGTTGTTAATTTTTTATTATAAATTACCTCTCAGTAGTACGTATGCATGTGTTAAAAAAGAAATGAAATCAAATCTTTAAATTACGCCAATTGCAAAACGAATATATAATTTCTTGCAACATATAACATATACTATTGTATTTTGTAAATTGCGAAAAGAACATATATTTTATTGC